GGGCTCTTTTTTGGTTCCATATGAACTTTAAAGCAGTTTTTTCCAATTCTGTGAAGAAAGTCACTGGTAGCTTAATGGGGATGGCATTGAATCTATAAATTACCTTGGGCAGTATGGCCATTTTCACGATATTGATTCTTCCTATCCATGAGCATGGTATGTTCTTCCATCTGTTTGTGTCCTCTTTTATTTCACTGAGCAGTGGTTTGTAGTTCTCCTCGAAGAAGTCCTTTACATCCCTTGTAAGTTGGATTCCTAGGTATTTTATTTTCTTTGAAGCTATTGTGAATGGGAGTTCATTCATGATTTGGCTCTCTGTTTGTCCCTAACAGCCAAATTGCTCTGGTTCCATGACAGAGAAAGCGGGAGGGGCCATCTGAGAGGGCATTTCTTTTATAAGAAAATATTGTTATCAGTCCCAAAGGAAATTATTTTAAATAAGACCAGTTATTTGTATGAATCCTACAAATTCAACTCATTACCTAGATTAGAAAGCCACCTTCTGCCTGCAGACCAGGAAGAATCTATGCATGTATCAGCCAGGCATATAACCTGGGTTGTAGTCATCTAGGCATTAATTATTTGGTATCTGAGAGTTCAAAATTAGTGCCTGGTAGAGAGCTGTGAAGATAGAAGACAGGCAATAGATGATGCCTGCTGGTAAACAGACTCAATAGTGAACTGAAAAACTCTGGGGTGGGAGGTCACTGCTTGAAGTCTGTCTCACTGTTTTTCCTTTTTCTAGATCACTCCACATCCCCACCTTGCCACCGACATCCACTTTCTTCATACAGTCAGAGCCTTCATTTCTTATTTTTGTTTTCTTGAAGTCTCTTCCTAGGGCTGCCATCTGCCCTGAACCTATTAATGTGTGAAACCCTCCAATCACTTATTCTAGAGTGACAAATATGTCCAGTGGGGAAGAAACACTTGGGTAGCTGAAGATATCTCCCCTCATAGCTTTACCTCCTTATAGAGAAGAATTTAGAATTTGAACATCTCAAGAGTCTACTGGTTAGCAAAATTACGAGCACATTCCTGGATAAAGACTGTATACTATGAGTACAAAGAACAGATCTAATGTTTTACCGAGATCAAAAAATATCATGCTACATATTAGGTCATTTATGTAATAAATGCTTTTCTGAACATTTTCTAAAGCTAAACTTGTACAATTAAATTATTTCCCCTTAGCAAGAAGCCATTTTTAAAGTTGTTTTGTATTGATTCCTGGTAAATGTACATTTGCAGTGTCTCCTTATCTTGAGCTTTCAAGTTTCCTCCCCTTGCTCAGCTTTTAGATCATGTAGTTAACCTGAAGGATGCTTGTCCACACTAACAGAGATGGCATTTGGGAAGAACTGTTTTCTAATGGACACAAATATTCTATTAATCTATGAATATGTGGCACATTATATACTTTTAGACAGCATTCCTGTGTATTAGCAGGCAAAGACATAGGCCACTTCTCAGGGCTGGATCATTTCTCTCCTACACAGTAACGTGATTCTGAGGTCACTCCCTCTTCCTAGTGTGTTTGAACTGAGTCAACAATTATGTTGGTTATTTATTAAACCATATCAACAAGGATGGATGGTCACAGCATGGCTGGGATTACATTTGCCTCGACTCTCCCCATTCTGTGAAGTCAGAAATTCCTCCTCTAGATATACATTGGATAGAAGGCTGATTCCCACCAGCTATCTAGAAATGAGCCTTGGCCTTATTTTCCTCTTAAAGGTGGGCTTATTACATGTGAAACAATGGTAAGCTTCCCTTGTATTAGAAAAATACCTGAAAAGCCATTACTCTTCAAAAGAAGCTATCTTGTTACTTACGGTTACAGACAGGTAATGGGAAACCCAATAAGAAAGTAAAATGGTAGTCTTGGAATATATTCAGTAGGCATTTCCATTGAGGGTTATGACAGACAACGATGAAGGCAAATCCGTGACCAGCAGGATGCAAGATACAGTGAAGGAGGACATGGGGTTTTGAATGAGGGGTACCTGCCACCTAAAATGCATTCAGTAAATACTTGCAGACTGAATAAATAAATAAATGGGCTGGGTGCAGTGGCTCATGCCTGCAATCCTAGCACTTTGGGAGGCCGAGATGGGAGGATTGC